AATATATATACATATATATAAGATATATATATATATAATATATATACTTATATATAAGATATATATATATATATATATATGCATGTATGTATGTATAGATATAGATATAGCTACGCATTCAAGCATCAGATACACTAGACGACTGTCAAAACAATCAATGCACTCCTGCCGGGTGTCTTACCTCATTTCAGTCTCACTCTGATGTTTGCGCCATACGCGTACAGTATTGTCTTTGCTTGATGTCACCACATAGTTGCCACATGGGCTGATGTCCGCACACAACACATTAGCTGTGTGGCCCTCTAGCATCGCACAATCGTGTGTACTTAACTGCACGACCCTTGCCGCTTCACTATTAGCAACTACAAGCACATGGTCGTCGTCAATATGCTTGGCGTCAATAATCTCGTCGTTATATCCGATGATACGTCTCTGTATGGTAAGTGTTTCTTGATCCAAGAACAGGATGTCCATATTACCGTTTACCACCACAATGCGATGTGACTGAGGCAGTAGAGACACCTCTGACAGTGCGTCGTGTACTTGCGAGAATTGAAGCATCTCTCCGCTCACAGCATCCCATACACTACACTTCCCCACGTCACTTACAGTCACCACCTTAACGCGTGTGTCTCCGTTAACCGTTGGTACTAGTTTGAGGCCCTCGATACTCTCATGCAGGGGTTTAGATGCGTGTAGCTTGAATGAATGATCGGAAAGCCTCCACGTGTTCATGACCTTATCTCTACCGCCACTCACTATGAACTTACCATCGTCACTGAACACTAAACCTTGTACAGGCGACACATGGCCCTTCATATTGTGCACCAGCTTCTTCTTATACAAATCCCAAACCTTCACATCGCAATCGGCTGAGGCGCTTGTAGCAAGCAGCATACGTTTAGGATCAGGGTGGAATGCCATACTAAACACAATCCCTTGCGAGCCTTTAAAGGAGTGTGTGACAGCTGTGTGTGCAAAGTCCCATACCTTTACATTCCCATTACTCGCACCGGTTGCTAACAGTGTGCCTGAGGGGTCCCAGCACAGACTCGCCACAGGGCCGTCTAATGACTTGAACGTACGTAACACCGCGTTGTCTACATAGTCGTAGTGGTGCAGTTGCCCACTCCTGCTAGCAACAACGCAGGTGTGTGTGTTAGGCACAAGTGACATACAGGTGATAACCTCACCATCCCCATCGAATATGTTACTTATCTTGCCCGTGTTGAGATCAGATACTTTCACGTTGTCTTCGCATGCAGTCAACATATACTGTTCGTCTGGTGTAAAGTGTATGGCTCCGCCTGTATAGATATACTCGTGTGTATCTTCTATTGTGTACGATTTCTTCAGATGAACGGTATCGCCATTCGGCATCTTCACCGTTTGTGTGGAAGCCATAGTGCTATCGGTTTGTTTTTGATGTGGCTATATGTAAAAAGTATGTTGCTAAATGTCAGGCAAATGTCGGCTAACGAAGTGCACTGTACAAATAGTGTTGCAGCAACACTTCGGAAGAAGTTAGATTGCGTATATTTATGTATGTTTGTGCTCGTATTTGACGGTGTACAACATATAGCTCGAGTTCGGTTCGTACAAGCGGTTCAGTGAAAACTACAATAGATATCCTACGCACATTCCTGATTGTTTGTTGATAATAGAGACTTGCTGTCCTATTTTTTGGGCCCTTAGGATCATCATGTGTTTTGGTTGTTATAATATCCCCTGGGTGCACGTGTATGTAGACATTCTAAAAATAGATTGCATTGCTCGCCTAATCTTTCGATCTATATTTGTTATTTTTTTTTAAATACACAGTCCAAACCAGGAGAGACCTAAAAGGCAGCCCAAACATTTATTATTATTATGATTTATATATATTTATGTGTATACATATATGTGTACTTGCACAGATATAGTACAGACTACAGACTGTCACTATACGGTGTGCAAGTCGCTGTAAAATGGATTCCAAAACAGCCGTCAATGAGCTATATTACTACATTGCGGCGTTTAATGCCCAAGACCTGGATGGGATTCGAGACCACCTAGACAGCGATATTCAAGTATGGGTCGATGGCAGAGTAGTTGCTTGTGGAATAGAAGAAGTGCTACCATCGTATAAAAGTGACTTCGAACACAAAACCTTTGTTCGGAATATTCGGGCGGCAGAAGTTGTACACAGGCACGACATGGATACTATCGGTATACGTATTGGGTTACAGACAGGAAGCACTGATTTGACGGTTGTTTATACCTTCCGAACAGTGGATATGAAGCAGGTCCCACATGAAATAACAGTAGATGCTAAGAAGTGATCTGTAACATATGAATAGAAGGACGACTGACGAAAGTTTGAATGTGGCTTTATTTCGTATCTGTTTATTGTACCTTACACACGTTAAGTGGCTTCTAAAAGTGGACACCGACTTCACGGCGTTTCATTACTTAGCGCAATGCGGCTCAGCACCAAAATGTTTACATCAGGCAACTTATATAACGGTAACTCCCTCCCATTGTTATTTGGCCCACAATATGTTCATTCTGAATAGATTGCTCTGAATCACATATGTTCAATATAAATATATATATATACATATAAACCATCAATATATATATATGTATGTATGTATGTATACGCATATATACCATCAA